CTTTTGCATTATGCAATTTCCTGCACCAATTGTACTTTATTGAGCTCTATGTACAAAACCAATACCAAAAAAGTCTGTTGCATGGAAATAATGGGTGTTGTGTTCTCTGGGCCAAAGAAGTAAAGACCATCCAGACTATTACCAGCATAAAGTTAAAAAAACTATGTCTGTCAGTGGTATGGGGGGGCATGTATAATGCATATCTGTGAAAACAGCATAAACACTGAAAAATATGCACATTTTCACAGCAATTTCTAAGCACTACTCCAACAAAACTCATTAGATCTACTAGCTATTGGTACATCTGCTAAGGATTGTGTCGGGACAATAGACATTTTGTTGTAAACATATACAAGCAGCTGTTCGTGAAGTCAGGACGCCTACAATCAATAGTTGAGGTAGACATCTGCTAGCCCAGTGATCAGTTATTGGTGAGCTCTATAATGTAACCCCCTAAAAATTCCAGGCTTTTTACATATTAAGACGTATTATTCAATAATTATGTGGATTACAATTCAAACTGGTTGAGCTATTCTTAGGTTATAGAAGTTTGTAATAAAATTTTAGGTCTGAGGGTGGGCCGTGGGCATTTAAGGGGTTAAAATGAGAAAGAATATAAAGGAAATAACTAAAACTGAAACAGAAAAGACAATAAATTCCACACAAGCAATGTGAGGAAGAACATCGTTTGTGCTTCAGACACCTTCCTCAAGCAAATGAATCTAATGTTGGTGAGCATGTTGAAAGAGTATTCACAGAGAACTCAGTCAACACTTGGTGCATGTTGTGTCTTCCAAGAATATAAGTGAATAATCTACTATTATCATCATATCTTTATCAGTATAATGTCGATTTTGCATTTGAGGCCTAAACATCGACCTTCTTTTTGAGCCACTAAGTGTGACATACAATACATAACATGTAAAGACGTGGTCCGAAAGCTTAAAAAGCATGAAACCTCTTACCTTTAAAATATTTTGTCTGGCTTTACAAGGTGACTCACAACAGCGCATGCACACTTTATTTTAGTGTTTTTTTCGTCCTCAGTCAGTAATAGTACTTTCAGTTTTAAGAACAAATCTTACATATTGCAGCTTTACACAAACCTGCCAGTAAATTAGTTTGAATTATTGGCTAACAGGTAGTTAAAAGGTGTTACTGAGGAACAAATCATTCAGACACACACTATCCTGATCATCTGGAAGGTGTAGAAGACTACGCTCACAGCTCAGTGTCAAAACTATCAACAGGCAGCTCTGAGGTCAGCTAAACTTTATCTATGCTTATGTGTTTGCTAACCCTCATGTTTAAAATAATGTCTGCGTAAAATTTCAGAACAATATTAAAATGAGCTTTCTTTGCTTCAGTGTTAGCTTTAGCACTAACTCTAGTGTTAATTCATCTGAAAGGGCATGCTTCTCTTGCTCAAACCTCCTCTATTTTAAAACTGAAAATTTTCAGCTTTAACATCAAGTCACTAAAAGATTTCTCTGGTTTGAGTGATGTAAACATGGTCTCCAGAATCCATTTTTTGTGATTTAAACTGGCCTACATTCATATTTTGTCAAATCTCAAAATGATTATGTTGAAGAGACATGCATGTGCGGTGTATTTTTAATAAAAGGAGTGTTTCCTTTATGTGCTTTTTCCTCTGTGCCACTGAACTTTTAATCTTTTAGCGCAAGTGTTACAGATACTACCACGTGGCCTGAGCTGAAAGCTTAACGGACGCAGCAACAGTAACTAACGGAGGTGGAATTTGTCAGGATTTTGCACTTAATTAAGCAGTTAATGTTCTACCATGCTCTGTGGCATGTATAAACACTCAGAACAGTCCCAGATGTCCTCATTTCTTGAAATGGCAAAAGGAAAAGTGGCTGTGAAAAAGAGTTCATTGTTGAGGCACAGATGGCAGGAGCTTCAGTCACAAAAGCTCAGGTGATAGAAAATGTCTTGGTCAGCAAGGACTATCTGTCCACAACTACATAGAGAGGGATATTATAGTAGGGTTACAGTGCATAAACCACTCATTACAAAGATGATTGCACATTTGAAATTTCAGTGGTGAAAAATCATAGACCAGGTCTACAGAGATCAGTGATAAGGCGAATGCATGTGTGGCATACGACAAAAGTACAGGCCTGAATGCTTGACCCCTGTAGTGAGGGGGGCTTTGTTATGCTGTGGGGGGCATCTCGCTGGCATAGTTTGTGTCCACTTATCCCCTTAGAAGGAAGGGTCACTGCAAATCAATATGAAGTTGTTCTGACTGATTACTTTTGTCCTCTGATGAAACATTTCTGTCCTGATGGTAGTGGTCCATTCCACAATGACAATGCCCCGTCCACAGGACAAGAGGGTTCTCTGAGTTCTCTTTGATGAGCATGAAAATGATGTAAGTCATATGTTATGGCCTTTACAGTCACCACATCTCAACCCAAGTAAACAGTGATGAGAGATTTTGGACTGATGTGTTAGAGTGCTTTACCACCACCATCAAAACGTCAACAAAAGAAATATAGTTCGGAAGAATTGTACAGTTCCAGCAGCTTATAGAACCTATGTGAAGGTGCACTGAAGCAGTATGACAACTCGTGGTGGCCAAACACCTTACTACAACACGATGTGCTGGATTTTCTTCATTTGTCACCGGCCTGTATTTATATTGCTACGTCAGTTTGGAGTCACCTGTTCATCCAATGTTTCTTCTGTAATCAAGGGTCATCTATTCCCCCTTTGCTGTAGTAACAGCCTCTACTCTTCTGGGAGGGCTTTTAATCAGAGGTCTTCATATCTGGACATTGAATCCCTCTTTTGGTCCTATATTTTTTAATTACTGGCATTTGGCACTGAAATGTTGATGTTGTACCCATTTGACCACCTCTGTGTCATACCTACCAGTGAGTGCAAAATACAGGAATGGAGCCTGGATCGAAGGACCAGATCTGAAGACCTCTGCAAGATGTAGGAAAAATGCTGTGAGGATTTTATTGCATTCAGTCACAAGAGCATTAATGAGGTCAGGTACTGATGACTTGTTTGTCTGTTTGTTTATTAAATGTTATGTACTTACACATACATACACATTGGTTTCAAAATGAAATTTAGAGGCTATAACCAAAGCTTACAAACAACACACATGTTCCAACTATCCCACCCATACAAACACAAGCATGAGAAAACCTAACATCTCCAAGTGTTCAAGTCAACAGAGTGACACAAATATTCATGAAGCACCCAAAACATCTTTACTGTATTGTATCTGTATTTATTAAAAAAAATAATTGATAAGACAGCATGGATTCGGCAAGGATGTTGTTGTTTTTACAGCGTGACGAGTGTGCGCTCTGTGGTACAGCAGAGAGTCACTGGGGAGGGTACAGTAGAGGGAGATGTGGAGTGGGCCTGGTGTGGTGAAAGAAAAAAAATCCTGCAGTGTGTTGGTACGGAGGGGAGGGGAGGAGTGTAAAATTCAGCAGAATGAGGAGCCTAGCCCTAGGCTCAGCACTCCTGCTCACACTACTACCGCTACCACATGACCCACATCAGAGGGAGACGGAGGGAGGGGTGCAATGAATGATGAATGTGCAGCAGATTAATTGCTTGATCTCATGTGCTCTCATGTGCCACTGAAATCTATTGAAAGTCACTGGGCGCGTTTACTATGAGAATAAGAACCGAAATTTATTCACAAAGCCAAGGACTCGCTCACAAGGACTTTTCTGTTTCCACTGCAACAGCTCCTGCTAGTGAGTGACTGGCAACTAGTGGACGAGATATGCTACTACAATAATGAATGCAAAAGCTATTATGGCCTACAGAGTGAACAGCCTGGCAGTTGGCCGTCAATCTTCTAACAAAATTACATTAGCAATTCAGAACTTAATTTGCTCATTTTCTGATGATTTTCCTTCTTGGTTCCTGCTGCGAGGCAGTTGATCTGCCATCAACATCAACAAAGTTGATGGCCAGAAATCATCCACGAATGATGGGGGGTCTCCAGTTTTACTTGTGGAGGACCACATCTTTATAGACAAACCAACATAGACTAGCATACCTGGTCACCAGCAAAACCAGCATATTGTGTTTGCTGGTATGCTGGTCAGCAGCAATGGAAGTTATTAGGTTGATCACCAGCAAAACAAGTCTATATTTTGTTTTAGGTGCTAGCTAAACCAGCACTAGACCAGCTCAGATCAGCATGGAATGCATGCTGATCTATGCTGTTTTTTTTCAGCAGGGCAGCCCCAAGAAGCAGTACATGCTGTTTGCCTTGTAGCAACACATCTAATTACCTAATCCTTCATGATAAGTAGTATTAATACTAATTATTAAAATAAGTTGTATTAGAGCTTGAAAATCACCAACCTGTGCTGAACTGCAAGTTTCAAGTAGCAAATCCAAATGCATGGTAATTGCATCAACGCTAAATAGTGCTAAACAAATGAAGAGAGAGGATAAAGCCTAATGACTGTCAAAAATCCTCATCAAATAGCCTAAAAACCCATGCAGCTGACATGGAAATAGAACAGCTTTGGTCCTGCACTGTAAGGTATGTAAAAGTATGATCATAACAGACACACCGAGCACTTTATTAGGTACACCTACCTTGTATCTACACTCGTTGGCCATTTTATCAGCTCCACTTACCATACAGGTGCACTTGACTGTACAGACTGCAGTCCATCTGTTTCTCTGCATACTTTGTTAGCCCCCTTTTACCCTGTTCTTCAATGGACAGGACCCCCACAGTTTTTTGAGGCATTAAACTCTTCAGACGTCTGGTTCCTATCACAACCACTGTGAACAATTCTGACTTGGTAAATTTCTCTACAATGGAGAATTCCACACCAAACCACTCTGAATGACTTTGTGTACATTTCAATTTCATCATTTCATCATGTAGAAATTTTGAAAAACCTGTGGCGTTGCCCTGGTGACAGTGGAGCTCCTCGGCAGCAGGGGGCGCTAGTGCGGCTTCTCTGAGCGGAACCACTCAGTCTCAGCTTCCGACTCATTTCAACGTTTTCTGTACGAAGCGGCAACAAGAAAGTTGGTGAAATTCTTCTCGTTTTTAACAAGCTGCGTTCGTCAACAGTGTTTTTCATCGACAAGTGTTCAGTATTACAAGAACGGATTTGATTTGGCGTCGAAACATAAGAAAACCTAGCTGGTAAGTGAGGTGAAGTCTGTGAAGAGCTGCGCTGTTGGTGTGTGGCGTGGAGCGCTGTTGGCTAATGTCGGGCTAACGAGCCATTTCTGCTCAGAGCGGTTAGACACAGCTAAAACACCCGAAACCGACATTACTACGAGGAACAATGAGCACAGCGACCATAATAACAGTATTAACGAGTAGAATGTAGGTTAAATACCTTTGTTAGCATGTTAGCTAAGAGACAGTGTGAGTGTTTGCTGGCCTGTTACAAACGGCTCAGGTAAATTATAATGATAATGATGGGCTGGTTTTTAGATCAAAAACTCTGTCGTTACTTTAAAACTAATAGAAAGATTAGTATGTTAGAGATTTAGCCATCCGTGGACTTAAATGTAGGGTAACGCTTAGGTTATGTGTTGATAGCACTGCTGATGTGGGGTTACAGCACACTTTACGTCTTCATTGTTTTCATAGTTTTACGTATTTTTGTAATATAAAGCCCCATTAGCTATCAGAGAGAGGTAATGGGGTTAATAAAGGACAGGGGTTTGGATTTTGTGTTAATCCAGAAAGGAAGGCAGGCAACAGCAGTTCAAACACAATCATGTTGGTTGCCGTGGATCAGTCAATTCCCCACAATAAACATCCCCCCCAAATACTGCGAACAGTAAAAGTCCGCAGCGCTGCGGGGAGCGGCTGACCGACCAGAGCTCGCCGCGCATTTAGAAACATTTCTTCTCTGAGCTTCGGACTCCTACATCTTAAAGTGACCAAACGTCCCAGGAGATCTGTTTTCTATAAACAGCTCCTACCCGAACACACACCTGACCGCTCTGATCAGGTGGGCTGATATTGTGATCTGATCTGTTCAGTTGATGTTGGTTGATCCTGAGTTGTTTGTGAAGGTGTATGTTTAGAGCAGGGATGTCCAGCTTTGTCTGCAAAGGGCCGGTATAAACGCAGGGTTTCGTTTAAAAAAAGAGCACACATTTAACCAGTCAGTCTCAGTCTTCAAACTACTGATCAAGTGTGCTCTTATTTTGTTGCAGTGAAAACCTGCAGCCACACCGACCTTTGCAGATAAGAGTGGACACCTCTGTTTCAGAGGGCTGGGCTGTGAGTGTAAAGACATGGAGAAATTAAAGCTTTACCAGCTTGGCAATCTTTGCTATTTTGTAACAGTACATGTTAACAGTGTCTCTGTGTTGACCATAAGCTGAGTGTGTAGAGAGGAAGCCTAGATTAACAGTGTTCTCTGTGTGATGTGTTTAAGAGAGCTCTTCCCAGCATGTCGCTGCCCAAGCGGGAGGTTGAGGAGCTGCGGCCTTGGGTGGAGCGGACGGTAAAAAAGGTGCTTGGCTTCTCAGAACCGACTGTGGTCACTGCAGCTCTGCACTGTGTAGGGAAGGGGCTGGACAAAAGAAAGACAACAGGTAGGAAATATATGAACTTGTATGTGTATTATGTAGAGATGGCAATGATCCAATACCAGGTGTACCAGGCTGATAACCGAAGAAAATGTTATATGGGATTTCGAGGGAAAACAAAGATAAATCTGATCCAGTCTGGAAAAAAATCTAGTCTAAAATATCACACTCTCACATGGTGTGATGTGAGATTAGTTGTGTATTTTTTTCCTGTGGGGTAGTATGTCAGTGTGAAGATAAGAGCGCCTGCTAAATGTTTCAGTACAGGTAACAGTATTAGAAAAGAAAAAGAGATATTATTCAATGTCTTTTCATACATTAACCCTTCCAGTGATTTCCCAGGTATTGTTCCAGGTCACATGGAGGTAAATTGCTTTGTCAGCTGTATCAACTTTAATTTCAGCTCTGCACTAAACTAAACATTTTATTTACTGTTCAATTTCAAGTCAAAGCACATGCGTGAAAGGGGGCTTATTTGTGTGTGACTATGTTTCCATGTAAACTGGTTTACTGTCAGTTTGTAGCTCTGGTCTGTAGATGCCTTAAATGAGGAGTGTTCAGAGCTGGTCCTGAATGGCTACCATCTTTCAGAGTTTAGCTCCAACCCTAGTCTAGCACAGCTGATCCAAGTAATGAAGGCCTTTAGAGGCATCCTTCAGAGCCAGGTGTTTTGGATCCCCAGAGTAGTTGAACTCCGGGACCAGGATTGGGCATCCCTGCATTAAGAGATGTCATCTGTGGTCAACAAGATAAACATCTCATTTAACAGTGAAATGTCCCCCTCTCACCCTCTCTCAGATCAGCTGAGACCGTTTCTCGATGATTCTGCAAGTGGCTTTGTGGAGCGACTCTTTGAGGCCCTGGAGGAGAGTAAGAACTCTCGAGGCAACAAGGGTACAGGAGAGAAGAACCGCAAGAGAGAGCTGAAGGTCTGATATACCCAGACTATATAAGTTGATATGGGTGTTGTTTATAAAACTGTTTTATTTTTGGTAGTTTGTGGTAATGATGTTGAATAAATCATTATGGAAAATAATCAAATTACCCAAAATGTATTCAGAAAGCCAAGGCAAACACTTCTCTGACTGTGTCAGGTGGTTGGATAGACTTGCTTCTTAGAGATGTACATTCAGTTTTTTTTGTATCAAAAAAACATATTCGTTTAACCATGGGGATTTAATTTTAGCTTTGGCTGATATTGATGTATATTAATGTTTTTAGTCCTAGTACACAAAAAGGTTACACAGGTGCATTGGTACCGGCAGGCTAAAAACATACAGCACAAAGAAAAGATTTCCAGCAAAAGAGACGCATTTGAATTTTTGCGTTAACACAGTACATTCTTGTGTTAGAAAAGGCTTGAGTAATCAGGGCTCCATTCAGTTAAGCTAATGAACTAACCCTAACACCAGAGCGAACTAGCGCAACAGTAGATGGTGGTGACCTTTTCTCCTCAGTGGGTGATGTGCCGACATGTTAGTCTGTCAAGGTAACATTGAGAACTAAGAAATGGTTTAAGCTGTTGGTTGTAGTTAATGGCAGCTATTGTAGATGGCCTAGTTACAGTTGGGCCACCTCTTCCTTCTTAGTCACACCCATAACAATGCATTCTTGAAGTATGATACGATATACTTAAGCCTAAAGTAGTCCTAGCTGCTGATACTTGGTTCCCCAACTGATGCCAGAAACAGCTCAAACTCAAATGAACAAACACTACTCACATCTACCCTCTAAGGCTGTTATAACATGTCAAGAGTTAGCCCCTTTTTTGTAAGACCAATGATGTGTCCCAGTGTGCTTTCTGCTTTCTTTAATTTTAATACATTTTCCTCAGCATACCCAGTTCTTATTTTGTATATGATGTTAGCATATGATTGTGGATGCTTACAACTGTGGAAAATTAATTGTGCTCTGCTTAAATCATGGTCAGCTCAAGTTAAACTAAGTTAGTGCAGTCTTCACATTGCAGTTATTACTGGACATTTATTATCTGGCCCTTAAATGAAACATGCTTTTTCTCTCTTTGTAGGATGTATTTGGTGATGAAGTGGAAGGGGGCAAGGATGCAGAGAGTGGTGAAGTTGCAGCAAAAAAGAAGAGGGTGCCTCGCTTTGAGGAGGTTGAGGAGCCAGAAGTCCTACCTGGACCTCCTACAGAGAGCCCTGGAATGCTCACCAAGATGCAGGTAATGCATGTTGAATACAGAAAAAGCATTAGTTATCTGAAAACTACTTGGAGAGCTGTACTTTGCTTCTGCATTGTATGATTGGTTTAAGAAACATTGATTAAAGTAGTGCAGCTGCCTCTTTACGTTTTTGCTAAGTGAGCTTGGTTTTGTCCACAGATAAAGCAGATGATGGAAGCAGCCACGCGGCAGATTGAGGAGAGGAAAAAGCAGCTCAGTTTTGTAGCTCCAGTTTCTGTCCCTCAGGTAGGAGACATAATTGGTTCATGGCACTCTTATGTAATATGTATCCCAAACCTGTCTTGTCCATCGAAGTGTTAGTCTTGATATTAAGAAGTCAAACGTGATTAGTGTCTCTCCTCTCTCCCTTTCCCAGCCTAGACTGCCGCTGGCTCCACCCCAGCCAGAGACCCCTGCCTCACGTCCCATTCTACCCAGCCTGGGTGCTCCTTCAGTGGGAACGCCTCAGTCCATCGCCCCCTCCCAGGCTGCTAGCTTCATGAATGATGCCATTGAGAAGGCCCGCAAGGCGGCTGAGCTCCAGGCTAAGATCCAGTCCACCCTAGCCATGAAGCCTGGCATCCTGGGGACTTTGAGCAACACGGGACCACACAACCTTGTAGCGCTAGCCAACCTACACGCCATGGGGATTGCACCACCGTAAGAAAGAGTGTTTGATGGAGTGAAAAATACACACAGAGATGTGTGTACATGAGATCAAATCTGCATTTTCTTACATAGTCTCATCAAACTGTAAGAATTCAGCTGTTGTTATAGTTCTCTGTGTTTGTGTTTTTATAGTAAAGTTGAGGCTCGTGAGATCACGAAGCCAACACCCCTCATTCTGGACGAGCTTGGAAGAACTGTTGATGCCAGTGGCAAGGAAGTGGAACTCACACACCGTATGCCCACTCTCAAAGGTAACACAAAATGAAAGATACTGAAAGACTTTTAGCCTTCCTTTCTGTCCTACCTTTACCAACCTTCTCTTTTTCTTATTCCTCTTCCTTGCTAGCTAATATTAGGGCAGTGAAGAGAGAGCAGTTTAGGCAGCAGCTGAAGGAGAAGCCTACTGATGATCTTGAATCCACCTCCTACTTTGACCCTCGGATGTCTGTAGCACCACCACAGAGACCTAGGAAGGGCTTTAAGTTCCATGAGAAAGGTCGCTTTGAGAAAATAGCCCAGAGGATACGCACAAAGGTGGGTTGGACTGATAGGCACAGCCCCCATTTTTACGCCCGCTTATAGACTGTACTGGGAATAGACAAGACCAGATTTTTTTGAACATATATGATGTTTTTTGGTTTTTTTTTTGGATCAGGCAAATCATACACAAAGTGTGCGTCTCTCACGCTCTCTCTCTCTGTCTCTGTCTTTCTCTCTCAGACTCAGCTGGAGAGGCTGCAGATGGAAATTGCACAGGCTGCTAAGAAAACTGGGATCCAGGCCTCAACCAAGCTGGCTTTGATCGCCCCCAAGAAGGAGCTTGGGGAGGGAGAGGTGCCTTCGATCGAGTGGTGGGATTCCTACATCCTGCCCTCCAACGTAGAGCTGTAAGCAACCTGCCACTGCTAAAGCAGCCCCTTACTAACTGCTGCAGCAAAGCAGCTCCATTTTGATTGCCAGAAAAAGGAAAAAATATTGCTTTTGTGTTATAGTAGCAGTAAAGTCCTGACAGTCCTTTCCATTACGCTGAAACTGTCTCTTCTATTTATAGTTCTGCCGAGACAGTATTTGATGGTTTGGAGTTCCATGGGGTCACTAATTTGGTGGAGCATCCAGCCCAAATGGCCCCTCCAGGTATTTTAATGCAGTCTCTAATAGAGTCTGCAGACCACTGATTGATTGATTTTGTCTTAATTACCAAGCCATTCATCCATTAAATTTCATCACTTAACTGAGCAGTACCGCAGTCCTGGTGGGGTTTGAAACCCTGCTTTAGTACATCTAGGATTATCTCAGTTGCTTTTTAGTATGGCTGGTAGTGCTGACAGTTCATTGTCCATATTTTACTGGTTGACTGTTCTGTTGCTCTCTGGCTTTCTGTCTCAGTGGACCCAGACCAACCAGTGACGCTGGGTGTGTATCTGACAAAGAAGGAGCAGAAGAAGCTGCGGCGGCAGACGCGTCGAGAGGGGCAGAAAGAGGTTCAAGAGAAGGTCCGACTTGGTCTCATGCCGCCACCAGAACCCAAAGGTAGAGTGGTTTGCAGAACAGAGTGGAGAAATCAAACAGCCACAGTGATGCAGTTTATTCAGTTTCTGCTGGTGAAGTCATGAGTCCTTTTAAGTACTTACCTGATGTTTGATTGGGACCGCTGACATTTTGGCAGATAACCCTGAGTAGCACTACTTTAATGGGCAATAAGGTCCAAAGAATTCCAGGATGCCTTTTTATTCTTAAGGCAGGTACGATGTACAATTTTTGTGGCAATCATGCTGTTACAGATAAAATCACAAATGATTAAAGAATTCTTTGATTGTGAGTTAAAATTGATGCTTCTTAACATTTAATGACTTTTCATAGTGGATGATTTAGTGCCTTTGTGACCAAAGACAGCCTATGATAAACTTTAAGGAGTGCAAAATGTTATGCAGGGAGCTTGAATCTTGGTTGTGTGGCTCTGATGTTTGGCAAAAAAAGGAGGTGCATACAGAATGTTGTCATTTTCTTGGACTGTAGATCTGCCATCAGAAAATCTTTGTTGTGTAATTTGACCTGTCGCATAACTGAATTTGCACAGGATGGCATGGTATTTTCGTTTGCAAGATCTTGTGCAGTGCGATGTACAGTAAAGGTATACTGTTTGTATCGTGCAATCTATAGCGGGCTTTAATCTGATCGGAGGTCTGGTTTGCTGTTTTTAATTTGGAGAGGAGCTGGTCCTGTTATAGACAAAGACATTGAACTACTCCAACATGTGTGAAATTGTGAACTGTCCTGCGTTACTTTTGTATACCTTCTTATTTGGACCAATATTGTTGGTCAAATGAGAGTATATGGTGGAGAGTGGGGGACAAAATCTGTTTTGTTAGAAGTTATTTTTGTTTTTAAGCAGGCATAAGAATCAGTGAGCCAGTGTCATGATTTTTGTGTGTGTGTGTGTGTGTCTGTCTGTCTGTCTGTCTGTCTGTCTGTGCAGTGCGCATCTCTAATCTGATGCGTGTGCTGGGGACGGAGGCGGTGCAGGATCCTACGAAGGTGGAGGCCCACGTCCGAGCACAGATGGCCAAGAGACAAAAGTGAGCTCTCGCGCACTTCCAGCGTGGAACGTGTCGCATAACTGTACTCACTCAAACACTGCATTAGTCATCAGTCACAGACAGAAGTAAGCACTAATGGCTTGTATTTTTCTTGTGGCTATGCAGGGCCCATGAAGAGGCGAACGCAGCGCGTAAGCTCACAGCAGAACAGAGGAAGGAGAAGAAAGTAAAGAAGCTGAGGGAGGATCTGAGTCAGGGAGTCCACATTGCTGTCTATAGGTAATGTGTCCATACACGGAGGAAGGCCTTCCTATAAATAGTTCCTATTGGTACCAGCAGATAATTGTTCAAACATGCTTCCACAATTCAGCATTGTGATTTGATTAGTATGTGCTGATGTGATATTCTGTTTGCCTGTGCTCTGAATACGTAGATATGCTTGCTAGTTCTGGGCAATATCCAAAAGTAATTAGCATGATATTTTATTAATAAATAAAATCAGGATTATAGGTTATATCGCCCCTTGGCAAGAAGTAGCTATAGATGTCTGTGGGAAACCATAAGGAATTATATCTTCATAATTTTGTTCATAACTCATCTGAACATTGGGGACACTTGTTCAACACTGTCAAATGCTGAAAGCTTTTTCTAACAGTATGTTGGGAGGAAACCTGCAATAGAGACAGTGGACAATAATCTCTTCCTGTTCCAGGGCTGGTGTTGCTGCAGATTTTCATTCCTACAAAGCAGGAGATCACATGATTAATTATTTGAAAACTGAGACCAATTGATTAAACCAGTGAAATCAGTTGTGCTCTTGCTTGTTTGGAATGAAAACCTGCAGCCACACTGGCCCTTTGCGGATGAGATTCTATGAGAAGTCAAGTTGAACGAGGCACACTTACCTCGAATGTGCAGTCCTGTGCGCCACAATTAATCTGCTCTTTTTCTTTCTGTCATGATCTTTCCCACCCTGCCGGCAGGATCCGAAATCTGTATAATCCAGCCAAGAAGTTCAAAGTGGAGGCCAATGCACGCGAGCTCTACCTCACAGGCACCGTGGTGCTGCACAAAGATGTCAACATCGTAGTGGTGGAGGGAGGTGAGAGAAAAAGAGAAACAAGGACGGGTCAAGCACAGAAATAAGATACTAGTTCTGTTTTTGAATAGCAATGTTCAGCGTGACCACAGTGAAATTAATCCACATTCAGCACAGATGGTTTTCTTGACTTTGTGCACTGAAATTATATTTCCTCTTACAGGACCCAAATCCCAAAAGAAGTTTAAGAGGCTGATGCTGAACAGGATCAAATGGGACGAGCCCAGTTCAAAGAGAGAAGGTGAGAGATGCGAAATGGGAGGAGGGATGTAAAATGTCATATTTAGTAGCTTACCTATCTTTATTCTTCCTAATTTGTTCTTCTTTGAATAAATACCTGAAATGATTCACTAGTATCTTCTTTGTAAGCTGCTGTCAGGTTAAAGAGATTTAGCCTTCAGGAGTTAACTTCTTAACTTTTGACTCCTTAATTTCCTGTCAGACCCTGATGGTTCAGACGAAGAGGGATCAAAGAAGCACAACAAGTGCACACTGGTTTGGGAGGTAAGCATCTGGGCTAGTGCATAATTATGCGTGTGTGTATAGCAAATTATTATTACAGACAGTTTACTGTACTGGCTGGTTTTTAGTGTTGATGGATCATTTAGACATTTTGGCATCAATGCTTGTTCATTTTATTTTCCTCCTTGTGCAAAGTTAGGGTGGTATCGCTATAGTGTGTGTGTGTGTGTGTGTGTGTATATATATATTAAGAGAGAGAGAGATTTTTTTCTGTTCTTTACTTACCCATTACCTCTTTGTCTTCTCCTCCCTCTCTCCTGATCATTCTCTCTCAGGGTACAGCTAAAGAGCGCAGTTTTGGGGACATGAAGTTCAAGCAGTGTCCTACGGAGAACATGGCACGGGAGCATTTTAAGAAGCATGGCACGGAGCACTACTGGGACCTGGCCCTGAGCCAGAGCATCCTGGAGAGCGCTGATGACTGAGACTGTCGCCACGGAGACAGAACAGACCTGATAGATACAGCCTGGTCTGTGGACTGCAAATCCACTGTGTTTCATACAAGGGAGGATAAGACTGCATTTGTGTATGTATATAAAAAATAGTCTTTGTGAGACGGGCAGCGAAAGATTGAGCATGAGTGGTTAAAGGTTGTTAAAGAGATCTGTTGTTAAAGAGCATCTGTGTGGAAAACAGATTAATCAAACCTGCGAACTTCAGAGGCTGGATTTGAAGTAGCCTCTGCTTCGGACAGGTGTGCAATGGACATGCTGCATCTCTTTGATAGTGTATATTCAACGGAGAGCCTATAGCATCCAAACGGTCCCATCACATCTCTGTATCGCGCAGCTTCCTAACGGCTTTCTGGCTGCAGTCTGGAGATAAAATCAACTGTAACACCACTGCTCTCCTGGAATACTTTCTTCTGGTTGCGCAGACTCAACGGCAAATGTTTTAAAAGAGAATGTGGTGCACATGTATGAGGTTAGTTAAGAGAGACACTGTCTGGGACAAAGAACCACCTCTTTCATTGGAAAAAGGCTTCTTTATAAGTTACAAGGCACAAAGCTGGGTCATAAGATGTTGAGGTAGTTTTGTTTTTATTTCTCATTTAATTAAGTGAATGGATGTGAGACCACTCTCTTTGGATGTACATAAGCTGTTGCCAACCACATACAGTGATTAAAGTTTTGGGGAAACGTACTGTGATGTGTCATCAACTTATTGAAGAAGCAAAAGCTAGTGAAAGCTAGGAAAAGACCAAAGAGCGGAGAAAAATGACAAACATTAAACTTCACCCCCCTTATGTAAAAGCAGGCATTGAACACCATTTTTGCAAATCCATTTCAAAACACATCTACACATTAAAGATGTTTGATCCTGGAGCATCCAGTTTGTTTCATTTCAACACAAACGATTACTCATGTTGAAAGTGAGACATTTTACCATTTCATGAAAAACATTAACTTGATGTGAACAACAACACATCTCAAAAAAGTTGGGACAGGGGCAACAAAAGGATCAAAAAGTAAGTGGTACTAATAAAAAACAGCTGGAGGAGCAACTTGCAACTAACCCACATGACTGGATATGGAAAGAGCATTTTAGAAAGGCAGAGTCTCTCAGAAGCAAAGATAGGCAGAGGTTCACCAATCTGCGAAAAACTGCATCTAAAAATTATGGAACAATTTCAGAAAAATGTTCCGCAATTTAAAATTGTAAAGACTTTGGATATCCCACCATCTACAGTACATAACACCATCAAAGATTCAGAGAATCTGGAGAAATCCCTGTATGCAAGGGACAAGGCCGACGGTCAATATTGGATGTTCGTGATCTTCGGGCCCTCAGACAGCACTGCATTGAAAACAGGCGTGATTCGGTACTGGAAATCACTGCAGGAACACTTCCAGAAATCATTGTCTGTGAACACAGTTCGCAGTGCAGTCCACAAATGTAAGTTAAACCTGTATCATGCAAAGAAGAAAACATATATAAACAGGATCCAGAAACGTCGCCTCCTTCTCTGGGCCCAAGCTCATTTAAGATGGACTGAGGCGAGGTGGAAAAGTGTCCTGTGGTCCAATGAATCAAAATTTGAAATTCTTTTTGGAAATGATGCCCACTGCATCCTCCAGAGTAAAGACCTCCAAGCTTGTTATTAGCACACAATTCAAAAGCCAGCATCCATGATGGTATGGGGGATCATTAGTACACATGGCATGGGTGTCTTGCACATCTGTGAAGGCACCATTAATGCTGAATGAAATATACAGGTTTTGGCAACATATGCTGCCATCCAGACAGTGTCTTTTCAGGGAAGGCCTTGCATATTTCAGCAAGACAGTGTCAAACCACATACTGCATCCATCACAACAGCATGGCTACGCAGAAGAAGAGTCCTGGTTCTTAACTGGCCTGCCTGCAGTTCAGACCTTTCACCAATAGGAAACATTTGGTGGATCATGAAACGAAAAATCTAGCAAAGAAGACCCAGGACTGCTGAGCAGCTAGAATCCTGCATCAGACAAGAATGGGCCAACATTCCTCTCCCAAAACTCCAGCAGTTGGTCTTCTCGTTTCCCATACATTTACAGACTGTTGTTAAAAGAAGAGGGGATGCTGCACCCTGTCCCAAATTTTTTGAGATGTGTTGCTGCCATCAAGTTCTAAAAGAGTTAATATTTTTCATGAAATGGTAAAATGTCTCACTTTCAACATCAGATATGTGTTCTATGTTCTATTGTGAATAAAATATGGGTCTATGAGATTTGCAAATCATTGCATTCTGTTTTTATTTACATTTATTTACATTTTACACTGCATCCCAACTGTTTTGGAATTGGGGTTATATATTCGGGGAATTGTGCACTAAAAATTGCAGAAAAAAATAAGTATTGTAGAGGGTGTGTTGACTTATTTTCACTTAAAAACTAAACATGTCATTTGACTGTGGGTGTCCAAACTAATACATACAATTGTAGAACATCACCCTTCTCTGACCAAGATGGGATAAACTCAAAATATTCAACGATTCAGCATCTTATGGAACAATGCTGTTACCAAGAATTACAGCTTTTAGAGAGCCGATACCAAAAAAACTTGAGGGCAAATGAAACAGACATGATTATGTTCCAGTGTCAGGTTTAAAATCATTTCTAAAAGTGGAGGCTTCCCTCTCAGTCTTACTAGTTGGCATAAATATAACTGAGGTAGTGAAAGCAAAGCACCGCTCTCTTAGGAAGCAGCAAAGGCCACATGAGTGCTAACAGCACCAATAGCTTCTACATGTAGACCAAGAAATACAAAACAATATAGAAGAACATTGAGGCCATGGGGCCTACAAATGTGAAAAGAAAAGAAGAAAAAAATGTTTATTTTAGTATTTGGACAAATATCAGGAGTAGAGCTGGGAAATATGTTAATATTTATCATTATCGTGATGAATTACATCATAGTATGTCACTGTATGCTTCTCTGAGAATACAGTGGATATTGTCAATACCTAAAAATCACTTCTAAACTGCATGTTTGATTAGAAAGAGAGCATCATTAACCCTGTTTATTTGGATTTAGTGCAGCAGTGTGTGAAATGTTGAATAGTAATTGGATTCATAGTTTCTGATAGTATTTTTTAAATGTGGCACTACTTTTTCTGTTCTAACTTATCAGATGTCGGAAAAAATAAATTTAGTGACACATCATGTATCGTAAAAACTTCCTGAAGTATCATGTTGTTACATTTTGCCATATCACCCAACTCTAATAGGGAGATCAGACCAAAACTTGCTTGTATGAGCACACTGCCAAACCAGATTAATAACTTCTTTGGTTGCATTTTTATAGAAAGAGAAATCAGTTTCAGTTTCAGATTTGAATCTTTTAAGAAAAATCCTGTTGGGAAAGTAGTTCAGTGGACCACACTTCACGTCAGCGTACATTCTTCTCTACAGTACCGTCCCAGCACGGCATTATGTGGATCATTCTCACCTGACCTGGACTTCAGACTAACCTTCCTTTGCTTTGAGTGATCCTGGGTTTAATTATGTAGAAAATTAGTGATCGAACATTCCATTTTGTCACTAACAAAGCAATCATAACACTAAATGTAAATGTGTAAATTTAGGGGTCAGGGTTTGGGACAGACACCTCCCAACAAACAGTACCTATAAATGGTGTTTTTTAAATATATTTAGCTTATCGCTATCTCAGTGTGTTTACTTTAAATAGACCATAACAATCTTTGTAAATCTCTAAGGTCTGAACACTTTTTAAACAGTGTTTTCACTGTAAGGCCGCAGTGTGGAATGGTCAGTCAGTAGCTATGTGATGTGAGGGTCCTCCTGGCAGTGTGCGGTAACCCCGCTCTAGGAATCTTTAGTTTAAACTGTTCCCCGACGAAACTGATCCAGCTCCTGAAGAGTTCAGCGATCCTCAGTGATGATGAGTGATGAGTGATCAGTGAGGAGCCGAGCTGCGGCTCTACAGAGCGGCCTACCGTTGAGGAGGTAACCAAGGCAACCAAACCTGACCACGTTGCCGAGACACCGATAGCTGACAGCTCTAATTATCGCCACCTGGTGGCCGTTTGTACCAACGTTAGCATTTTGATTCACTCAAAATTTGTCAAAATGTAAAAATATTAATGATGTAATGAAATGAATACAGTCTTTAATTAAGTTAAAAGAACTAAAATAGCATATACTGATAACCGAACTGATTCCTCTCCACCGAGCTGCTGCTCGTCCAGTCTTTGACTGTAAACGGAGCAGACTGAGTGACTGAGATATACATACGTAAACCATCTTTAAACAAGGTGCAAACCTCGAGGTAAACTTCTGTAACAGGAATAAAATATTAACAGTCAAATTATATAGCACTCTGTTGTAGTGAGTGCGATAAAGAAATATGATAAAAGAAAAGAAAAAAGAAAAGAAAAGAAAATAACAGGTAAAATATGGCGGAGGGCTCTGTCACCGCGGCAGATCGACCACTAGAGGGCGCGCACGGCTAATTCTGTAGTTATTTATTTACTTTCGGGCGCCTGTACGAATCGCCTGGTTTGAAGTCAGTTTTTTGTTTGTGAACCTGTCGTGTTACCGCTCAGTTACATGCTGTTCGTCTCAGTGTTGTTTAGCTGCTGTCCTGTAGAGCCTTATGAAGCTTCATATTTACTTTTCAGCGCGGTTTTATTCTGCTCAGGCGTTTTTTTCTGCGCCGGGCAGCCCGGGTCCTGTGATTGAGTGGGCGTGTGTTTTGGGTCCTGAGTCAACGTGGTCGGTGTGTGTGTGTTTTTGGTGACATGTTTGTGTTGTTTTGGTTCGTTTTTGAGAAGTCAAAGCGCTGGTGGACAGTGTGGTGGTGAGAGGGGCTCGTGTGGACCACCATGATGCCGGGAGAGAAGCAGAGCGAAGCCGGAGGAGTCGCCTCTGAAGCCTCTGCTGGAACCTGTGAAAACTGCGCTCTTTTAACTCGGGTCAGTTTAACTCGGGTCAGTTCACTTTACGAGCCTCAAGTCAGATTCTCACGCGCCAGATTCTTGTTCTGATTTGCTCATTCCACATTAAATGTTGCCGCCAGAATGTGACTGCTGCACCATTTAAGGTGGAACAGGAATATTCCAAGAAGAAGCCGAGGGGTGAGAATGTGACTCCAGCCTCGTGTTTTCTTTTTACCGCGGTTTAACTGTTACTGTTCACTAATTAGTGAATAGTGAATGGCACTTCAGCATATAGACCTGATAGCACACACGTTTACTACGACACTGAAGTTTGGTTTCTCTTTGCCTCCTTTCACATTCATTACAATCATCACTCTGGTCCCTCGTAACTGTTTGTACAGGGGGAGCTGGTGAAACCCCACCGATTTCTCATAATTTCTGAATTATTACATAGTTAAGATGTAAACAAAGTCAGTCAGAGTAGTTCGATGTGAAATGCTCAGTTCTGGAGAAACGTACTGTGTCTGAATTGTGTACAGTGACAGATGTCTGAAGAGTTCAGTACCTCTGTAAGCTCCTCACAGAAAGCTTTATTTATTTCTCTGTTTATATATCACAATATGCTACCTGATGAGTGAGTCGTGACTGTTTTACGATAGTTTTGTGATAAAGTTTTGTCCCGAAAACTTCTCATCCAAAATGTGTTTAAAATATATTTGTGGCAGAGAGGTACATGCAGGGAGTGTCTTTACTGTCATTCTTCA